TCAATGGTTTCAAGTTTAAATTGGGTTCTCACTCTTTTTAATGTCTCACTTTCTCTCTATATGACTTTAAAGGGTGAAGAAAAATAGTGGCTTGAGAGAGATTTTCTCCATGATAGAGACGAAGATCATATATTAGAGAGAGAGTAAAAAGGGACCCATGAATGATGTGGTTTGGGTCATGTGAGAGCTTCTTGTCCTTTTCAATTTAGCTATAGACTTGGGATAACTCTACCTATTTATATAGGATATACAAATATTTACTTACATGTATCATGTAAAGGTCATGAGGCAAGTGTATTAATGTTTTGTGACACTATTTTGTCTACTTTTAATTTCCTCTTTATTCATATCAGATTTTTTTTGTATTTTATTGGTTTTGTTTGTTGGTTTCTACTTAATTACTAGTTATTTTTAGGCAATTTAATTAATTGTTCATATATTATAACTAATTTGTGTGTTCAAAAATTAGAATATCGTACAACAATAATATATTAAGATACAAATTAGTAGATATTGGTCCAGGCATATGCGTACGCGTGGAAATAGCTAATTTAAATATCTACACATATATCAGAAATATATTTAAAAAACCATGAAAACAAAATTTATTAATACATTAGAAGATATAGATTTAGCCAGATACATTTTGTTTTTATCTATACATGTATAACAAATATATATATAAATAACCATGAGAAAATTTAATCATAAATTATAAGATATACATTAGACCAGATAAATAATACTTTAGGAGTTCATAAATATATATATATCTTAATTATATACATGTTATAAAATCTAATAAAGATTGGAAAAAAATATACTTTATGTTTTTTTGTACTGTGTTATATTTTTTACTCTATCTATCATTTTATAAACACTAAAACCTTCATGTTTTAGTTTACATACTCTTACTATAGTAAATCAAATAAATATTTAAACTATAACGAGACACTCTATAAAATATATGCATATTTACTTATTTTTTTAAAATAAATACACTTTAAAAAAATCAAAAATACGAAAACAAAAATCTTAAACTTTTCAATAGTGATCTTAAATAAATTGTAAAGAGGTTCATAATATGTCCACATTGATTTTTCTAAAAG